AAATTTCCAAGATGGTTGACAGCTTTTCCAGGGTTGTGTACATGCACAAAGAGTTCAGTCCTCCTTTGGAGTACTCCTTAGAACCATAGCCTAAATTGTGATTTTGTTCATAACTTCCCTATCGAACTGTGACAGAGGTTTAAGCAAAAGGTAGGGCAGCAGCATCCTCTAAGTGTATCATTCTTTTTCACAAGGAAAATTGTTTATGAACCCTTTTTCTTTTTTGCTACCTGATTCCAACAAGCAGTGCCAGCTTGTTCTGAGGCCTTTTAAGTAGATTATAAATATTATTACCCAAGCTCTGAAATACCCCCCTGCACATTACATTATTTCAAATATTTTAATCCTTTAATCTGTACACTATGTGACATCTGGGTAGTTATCTGACATGATAATTCATGTTGACTGTGTGTATCGTTATGTGGCATGTGAGAGAAGTGCCAAGCAGTCATAGTGAGATGATGATTTAGTTAAATGCCCGTGAGGCAGTGCCTTGGATCAAGGGAGACCTACCTGTACATGGCATGACCAACGTACCACCAGTACAGCTGTGTAAGTTCCTTGTGAGTGTAATAATATCCTCAGATAAGCACCAAACAGAACAGAGGGACAAGATAAACTAGTAGAACCCAAGTAACAGAAGCACATTAATATTTACTTGATATCTATTTATACCCTCTAGTCAGCATGACAGATGTAGCTGTGTTTTAAGACATTGTAATTCATTGAAAAATGGGAAAAGGAGGCTTTACCTCCCTTCCCTCCCTGGTAACATCAGATGTTCACTGTCTATATTGGTGGGAGGAGGAGAGCCAAGTGCTGGTGGGAGAAGAAGGCAATTATTCCAGAGCCTCCTGATGGGCATGTGCTTCTTCCTTCCAGCTTCACTGCTTTGGCCATGGGCTGAGGACTCATGGGACATGGACCAGATTGAAAAAGTAGAAGCAGACAGATGGTTATTTGTAGTCATCATGTAAATGTAAATCCTATAAAAATACTTTTTTTCCGAAGGGCCTGGAAGCTTTTGTGGTGAAAAGCAGGATTAAGACATCGTTATCTAGCCTAGAATAATTTTGACCTCACCACTTTTCCTCCCACTCCATAAACGTTGTTTTATCTCTGGTTCCTTGAAAGAAATTGCCAAAGCCTCAGTCAAGGAAATTAATTTGGTTTCCATATAATTCCCTGAGTTTACAAGCATTGGTTTGGCTTTGACCTGGATTTGGGCCTAAGCTGGCAGGTGCTGGTGAGCAGTTGCCATGATAGCAGGGGTTTCTTTTTGTCTTTTTTTCTAACTCTGGCAGATGCCTGGCCTGGAAGCATTTATCTTGCTGCTGCCATTGCTAGATGTCATTGCTGCCCTCATGAATACCTGTAAGTGGGCATGCAGGGTTTTGCGTCCCTTAAAGACTGATGTGACAGTTCACAGACATCTATCTTGTTTGAGCAGCACCAGCCTTGTTAGAACTACAAAGAGACTTATCAAGCTTTAATTAACTTTTGTCCACAGTACCATCATCAGCTGTACGTGCGACCTAGCTGTCCTTTCCCACCTAGTAGCATCCCAGTGACTTCCCAAGAAGCAAAGCCTGGAAGCCTTGTGCAGCTCTAAGGCTGCATGTGGCTGAGCATGAGGGAATCAGCACTGCCACCGGCCTGGTGGAGGGGAGCAGGGGCCAGGCCATCAACTCTCTGTCTGTTTGGTGTCCTTCATTAAATGTACACTGAGGGCAAGCGTTAATGTTGGATTAGAGCAAGAAAGTAAACGAGGTGAAGAGGGGGAGCCTAATGGCAACGCTTCACCTCTTGCAATGAATTTTTAAAAAGCCCTGAGGAGGGCTAGCTTTGAGAGGGAACAAAAGCCTCTTGCCGGTGTCAGGAGAGGGAATCTGCTCAGGCATGCTAGCAGTTATTTGGAAACGTATGGCAATTGTGGATAATTGGCTGAGGAATATTTTGCAGCTCTCAACCATTTTTCTGTTTTCACAGATGATTGTGCTATTAGATATGGTGAATGCACTAAGCTGTGCTGCAACTTTTCCATTTACCCTAACATGTGTGAGCTCCGCTTCCTGTTGATGCTCCCTCCTTCTGTTGCTTTCTGTGCTGCTGAGGTCTGCTGCATGCCAGACAGCACCCCAAAATGTTCTCCATCATGAGCCCTTGCATGTCACATGGGTAACATTTGGGTGTGCTGGTGTAGCTGCACTGATCAGATTAGTCTGTGCTTTGTAATGGTATTATATTCTGTTAAAGCACTGAGGCAGAGAAATGGCAGCCTATGCCCTCTAATCATTTTTATTATTATTATTCTTTTCTTTCCTTTACCTGGCTTTTTGCTTTTATTCTCTCTAAACTCATTGTTCCCCCTTTTCTTCTCTGATTTGTTTTCTCTGTGTATTCCACACATTTTTCTCTCTTTCTATCTCAACTTTATTTTTACCTATTTCATTTTTCTCACACAACGTTATTTGTTTTTCTTCAAAACAGAGAATACTGCAGCTGGAAATACTGAGATATATCTAAGATTTGTGTATGTGTTGAGGGACACAGCAAGAATAAATAAACACTCTAGTATCAATTTTGTCTTCCATCAAGTCACATTTGCAGTAGGACTTGAGTAGAGGAATGTGATAAAATCAAATCTCCTCAGCTTCATATTCTGCAGCTGATTAGAACCTTCCAGTTGCAGGAATGATTCAGAGAAAGTGAATGTAATTTGTTGTGTATAACCCCACAAAACTCTGTTCTTCAGCTTCATGTAGCATTCAAGGAAAATGATTTCCCTGGCATTGTTGGAGTAGGAAGGATAAAGTCATTGTGATGTTGGAACTGCTGATTTTCTGGGGATTTTCCACTAACGAATTTGCAATGGAGTTCTGCAATTATATAAAAAGTTAAGCCAATATAAATTAATATTATTTTTCGTGTTATAATAGCAGAAGTAGTTCTTGTTTCCTATTTGCCAGTTGTGTGAAAGAGAACATATCAATGCCTAGAAGTACTTTTTTTCCTGTGTAGCATAATAGTGCCAGAGCCACAATGAAAGTGTTTCCCAAAATAGGTGCTTTTGCAAGACCTTTTCCTTCCCTTATTCTTTCCCTGAGGTATCAGCTTTCTTGGCTTTGTTTGAAAAATGGTGTAATGCAAAATCATAGAATCATAGAATGAATTGGGTTAGAATAGACATTGCAGATCATCCAGTTTCAACCTCCCTGCATAGGCGGGTTGCCACCCACCAGCTCATCCTGCCCAGGGCCCTGTCTAACCTGGTACTGAACACCTCCAGGAATGGGGCATCCACAACTTCTCTGGGCAGCCTGTGCCCATGCCTCACAGCCCTCTGAGTGAAAAATTTCCTCCTAATATCAAATCTAAATTTCCCTTCTTTTAGTTTAAAGCCAGTCCCTCTTGTCCTATCACTATCAGATCACACAAAAAAGTCAGTCTTCCTGTTTGAGTTCCTTTGTAGTACTGCGCCAGGGAAGGTTCAGGCTGGATATTAGGAAATACTACTTCTCTGACAGGGTGGTCGGGCACTGGAATGGGCTGCCCAGAGAGGTGGTGGAGTCACCAACCCTGGAGGTGTTCAAGGAACGTTTGGATGTTGTGTTGAGGGACATGGTTTAGCGAGAACCACTGGTGATGGGTGAATGGTTGGACTAGATGATCCTCTGCGTCTTTTCCAACCTTAATGATTCTATGGTTCTGTGATTCTATACTGGAAGGCTGCAATGAGATCTCCCCTGGACCTTCTCCAGGCTGAACAAGCCCAGGTCCCCCAGACTTTTTTTATGGGAGAGGTGCAGCCCACCATCTTCAGCATACTACTACTGTGTTGTGCATTTTATAAGGTTATTCTATTTGATCTTGAAGCACTGTAAATTCTACTTCTGTCAGTTTGGTTATAGGAAATCAGAAGTATTGGAGTGTTTGGTATTAATCAGAAATATTTTGGAGTTGAATCTTTCATTATCTGTTGGAAAATATGTATCTATTGTATACGTTATTGAGAATAACAAGTTCTTGCCAGAGTTGCATCCATTTCCAACTGTGTCAATTTTATTTTATGCTTGAAGAGCAAGGTGTAAATATTCACCTTCTTACTGTTAGGAAAGGAACTAGCTGCCAATTAATTCCCTCCTTCCTCTGGGATCTATCTGTGTATCCCAAAATGCAAATCAGTGTGTTACCTTGTATGTCATTTTGAGTGCTACCTTTATACAGGTTACTCACATCAGCCCATTCAGAGACCAGTTCTTCTATGTATTAATCATATTTTCTTGTGGCTTATTACAGACCAGAAAAATATCTACTTCCAAATGTTAAAATGGGGCACATTTCATTAATATTGAAAGCAGTAAATTATCTCTGCTTATGAGATGAGACTAAGCAATTTCTGCTGAACTCTTCCTGACTTGCTCCTTCACTAAGATACAGTGTTTTCTAATTTCTCAGAGGGCCCTGTTTTCATTAAGGGCAAGAACTGTTTAAAAACTGTAATGAAAGCCTTACGTAGCTGAAATTATTGGAGAGGAAATGCCCTAAATTCTATTTCAGTAGTTCATCTTGAGAAATTTTCAGTTTTATAAGAATGTCGATTAACCTACAGAGTAGGATACACGTGGAAGAATAATGATGAAATGGATGTCATTGTAACATACCGAAGCCAGCTAATTTTACCTAATCCTTTATAGAAGCTCAATTTATGTGAGAAGCTAACATGCATTGCCCAATTTAATTTTCAAACAGCTTGGTAATTTAAATATTTTTTCCTTTCAGTGTTGTGGGACAGTAGTCAAAGTTGCAAAAGTATTAAGAACAAAAAAAGCATCAACCAACTACTTTTACAAGGACTATTGATTCCCATAAGGGAAAGTGACCCTTATCTTAAGGGTGAAAAGACTAATGGGTGCTACATATCTGTTATTTTTTTTCCCTCTCGTACAAGGATGTCAATTCAACTAACATTTTCTTCTCTCCCTTATTTACTACATTAGTGCTACGAGATGACTTCCGCCAAAACCCTACAGATGTTGTGGTGGCAGCTGGAGAACCTGCAATACTGGAGTGTCAACCACCTCGTGGGCACCCTGAGCCCACCATCTACTGGAAAAAAGATAAAGTCCGTATTGATGACAGGGAAGAGCGGATCAGTGTGAGTACATCTCAGATGGTTTTTTATAGGCACGAAGCCTATAAAGCCTATTAAAAGCACAGCAGCTTAGCAAAGCGGACTCTCTTTGGGTCTTTCTTTGTACTTGATCACATATACCACTGTAATGGAGACCAGAAACTGCTTGGCTTTGAAGTCACAGACTTGGAATAGGACAGGCTTTTGCCATGTTGAGTCTGTGGAAGGACAGACAGAGGAGCCATGGGTTCCAAAAATGCAGAGTCAGGGAAAAGTAAATCTAAATGTACTCATCATTCCCATAGTGACTTGTTGTTATACTTGTGAGTTTTCCTCTGTTTATTCCTTCTGATTCGTGCATCCAGCTTGAATTTCCTGGGGCTTGCTTTGTGCAATAGTTATAAATGAGTCCTGTAAGAAGAGTAAGTTTGATTGTGTGAGGTACTCTGTTAGATATGAGCTGTCCCACCTTAGAACTTAGCAGATGCCTTTGACAAGTTTGGCGTTACATTTTCTTAACCTCAGTTCTCTGTAAAAAGAGAACAATATCAGACCCTTATAAGAGAGGTGTCTTAAAGATAAAACCAGTCATATCAATGAGGTACACAGATCTTCTATGTGGAAACAAACAAACAAACAAACAAACAACAACAACAACAAAAAAACCAGTAGCTGAGGATTACATTAATAAGCTAAAATTTAGTATAGAAATTGGGCTATGTATTCTGAAGAAAGACTGAAATTATATTCTAAAGTTTAATTGTTCTTGAATAGGAATGTATAGTAAGTACATGAGTAGTGATGGTATTTTTGTGATGGTTCCTTTTGTGTACTAAATGAAAAAGGATCCAGCACAGAGATTTAACCTATCATGTAACTGGAAATTATTCCATGCTATGTGCAAACTGGTGGGACAAATTAAGCATGCATGAACATATTTAATTCCTTTTTTTTTTTTTTTTTTTTTTTTTTTTTTTTTTTTTTTTTTTTTTAATATTAAGCTTTTCACTATTGATATTTATTTAATAGAGGTGGGTTTTTTTGATATTGTTGTATATGGTGATCTGTAATTCAACCAGTGCTGATCTTATTCATTGTTGAAGTACTGTTAGGAAACTTATTCATTGTTTTGGATGTCTATAAATGGTATTTCTAGTTGAGCAATCTAGGTAGTTACTATTTGTGGTATTTTGGGCCAGATCATCTGCTCAGGAATAGAGGATGAATGGAAAGTGGCAGAGAACTGTGTGTCACTCCCTGACTCTTAAGTTTCTTAGGCTGTTATTCCTAGCTTATTTTGAAGCACTACATTCATTTTCTAACACTTACTGTGACTTCATAGCCTGCAAATTTGTTACTTCATTTCTTTCATCTACTCTGCTCTTTCACTCTACAAACATATTTTGCTTCTGTAGCCAGGAAAATATTAAGCTTTATGGGAGTGAGGTGAATTTTCAATTTGGGCTAGATTCAGTCTGTTTGCATTAAGGAAAGGGAAAAATCTGTATTAATCAGTGAGCAAGGAAACTGTTCAGGCAACAGTAACAATAAAATGAACTGGCTAAATAAAACTAAGTGAAGCTGTGTTTTTCTTGACAGAGATGTCAAGAGTGTTTTACGTATCATCATGCAAGAAATAGAGGCATGCTGCATTGGCAAAGAGGCAGCAAGCAATGATAGTCTTTGAAAAGTAAAGCATCTAATGAAAATCAAAGGGAAAAAAAACCACATTTAAAAGCAATCAGTAAGATAAAATGTGTTCTAGATCATCTTTAAGATATTTAAAGATGTGAGATTATTATTTTGCGGCCTTACATATATTTACAAATGGAATATTTAAATGCCTTTAATTGTGGAGCTTGCTAGGCTGAGTAGTTTTCTTTCTGATATCTTCTGTTTAACTGAATTTTAAACTGTTTTGAAACAGATACGTGGTGGGAAGCTAATGATCTCCAATACACGAAAAAGTGATGCTGGCATGTACACTTGTGTTGGAACCAACATGGTGGGGGAACGAGACAGTGATCCAGCAGAACTGACTGTCTTCGGTAAATCTACTCTAGCTTTTGTTTCTATTTCTCTAGCAATGTTATATATTGAGTTGATCTAGGTGACTCACCAGAGCATGACACAAAATCAGGTTAGCAAAATGGAATAATATTGCGTAAGCTGCATTTTCAGCTATTGGTTTCAGTGGTTACAATTTAACATTATAGAGTGGTGATGGTCCAAGATTTTCCTTCTAAGCAAATTGTTTAAATTTCTCTGGAGGTCCTTTGTTTAGTACATATGCTTAGAAATGATAATACAAGAAAATAATACTCTTCCCTTCTAATTTGCCAAATGTAACTTAGCCATTTCTAATACAGTTAACAGCACCTACTTAACAGAGGTTTGGAACAGCATTGCCTATTTAAATAATTTCTTATTCATGTGGAATCAAACCTTTGGAGGAGAGCACAGAAGAGCTCAATGGACCAGTAAAAAGTCATTAGACAAAATCTGAGAACAATTTTTTGAAAATATAGTGATATTTCTGCCATTTGTGTTTTAAAGGACACAAAGTAGATCTTCATCCTGAAAACCAAGGGCATTATTTTGGGTTTTGGTATTGCTAAATGAATAAAAAATAGATAGGAAAGTGTCCAGAGCAAGAATATATTAATAGTGATCACAGAGCTGGGTGCATCCTGCTAACAACTGGATAAGAAGCAAAGCCATTAAATCCTGCTGTGGTACATCCTGTAGTGATGACATTTCTATTTACCAGTAGCTGTGATTCTGTAGGAATCAGTCAAGACATCTTGAGCAAACAAAAGAAAATCAATAAAGAAAAAAGCCTTCACTGCTAAAAAAAAAAAAATAATTATGTACATACGAAAAAGAAATACTCTTAGTGCTCCTTCCTACTATACCTCCTTAATAAAATACTGAAATTCCAAACAAGACTGCTTGTAATTCTAGTAAGACTTTCCAGAGATACCTAAGCTACTTTGTAGAGTAGGTGCTCCTAATTTGCTCATTTAATTAGCTAATTTGCTAATATGGTGCACTAGAAAACAATCACAGATATTACTGTCTGTGTTTGCATATAAGTACAGTTCCACACCTTAAAAATTCTATCGTGGGTCTCACTAGAGAAAACAGAAAATTTTCTGCTCAACAAGATTTGTGAGTGACCTGAAGATTTGCTGTTCTCTGATATTACAAGGCTGTGAAGGCTTCCACTCTACTTATTTTGTTATGTATTCATGGAAGCATATGACTTAAAAACAGAAATAGTATACCTTGCAAAAAGTACAGAAAGGATTTCCATTAAATTATCATGTCCTTCACAGACAATCTGTTGAGGTTGTGCCGTTATATAGATGTTAAGGAGACAACATGGCATATCTTTTTCATCAGTTTAAGTGCTAATAATCTCTGGTATCATTCCCTGTGGATAACAAGTACATTGAGATCCTAAAATACAAAGCCTTAAGAAATCCTTAAGAAACTAATTTGTTAAAAAGCACTGAGCGGTAGGAATAAAAATTATGAAATATGCATGTAATTTTATATCGTACAGAGCTATGAAAAATGTTAGGTTTTTCTTGCTATGTAAAACAGTCAACTACAATTTTTTGGTTTTTGGAGAGATTTTAATAATAGCAATCAACTCATAAAATACAATCTAAGTCTATTTTGTGAATACAGGACAAAATTAGCAATTAATACAATTAAAAGCTTTAATTATATTTTACTGTGGTAGTCTCATTTTAAAAAATAAATAAATTAATTAAAATTCAATTCCAATATGTTATCTTTCTATATAAAATTCCTCTCGTGTTTAGGTATTCCCTTCCTGATTTCCTTTTCCCTATAAGTAGCATGCAGAAAGAAGTGGCTCAACTTATGATCTGTTGTTTGACAAGATAATTCAACTCTCATATGCCCATTCCCTGGCTGCCATCTAGTCCTGAAACTCTGTGTTGGCATGTTGGGCTCACTGTATAGGTGTGTTCAGGTTAATTCTGGTCCACTCTTTACAGAAGAAGATGGCCTGGCTTTGTCTTCCATCAGCAGAACAGTTGTGCTCCTCCCATAGTACAGGCAGCAGATCCTGCATGGGTGCATGTGTGCATAAGTGCTCTGTAGAGCCTTACCCATGATGTTTACAGGAAGCAATGTATCTACTGGAGACAGTTTAATCAGTCTAGACAATAAATGCTGATTAGCAGATTGATATCATTGTTTTTTAGTTGTGTTTTATTTTTTGTTTGCTTGCTTTTGTTGATGTTATTGTTTGTTTGTTTAAATAACAAACCTGGAAAAACCTTTCCATACAGTGAGGGCAGCCTTAAAAAGCACTCTTCTCTGTTGGAAATTTCACACTAGGTCACAAGGCTTTCCAGGATTCAGCCACATGTTACTTTTGGCTCTGCAAGTTTTTCTGCAATACCTGAAGTTAATTTATGCATATCACTTCTGACAGATCTCTGGCTTCCTGTGCAGTAAATTTAGCTTGAAGCATTGCCTGTGGAAAAACTGAGTCAGTATGCTGGTAACTGGTGACCCAGTGGGAACAGCATGGAAGCCTAGCCTAAAAGATTACACCTTTCCTGAGTCAAACATAAAAAAAAATAAAATAAAATAAAAAGGGCAATAAAACCCTTGGAAAGAAATAGGAGGAGAAAATAAGTTTCCCATATGCAGAATATATCCAGTCAGATGGTCCGATTCAATAACCTTTGCTGAGAGATTGTTGAGGGTAATGCCTGTACAGCTCTCAGAAAACAAGTCGTTTTTTTTTCCAACCCCATATGCAGAGGAAACATAGTTTTCAACTCTTAGGGCCTCACCTGGGATGAGGATGTTCAAGCATTTTTTTTATTCCCAAGATACTATTCTTCCACAATCAAAAACTTGTGAAAATGAATACTTTAAAGGAAAATATAAAATTGACCATGTAAGCAGAGCTTCCCGAAATTATTCCTGTGTTTGAATAGTGACAGGAATGGCATTAGATTTTGTTAGTCTCCTTTTCCACAGTTGCTTGTTTTTGCCTTTGTGATGCCCCAAGGTGTAATCTTGGAGTATAGCATGGATACAGATTCTGTCAGACCTCAAGGTGGCTTTCAAGGAAAGTTAATAACTAATCCATCAATCCTCACATTCACAGAAAGAGGCAACATAGCACTTTATTATTATGGACACATTTTTTAAATGCCAAATTCAGAAGCATGATACAAATTAGGCTGCTTTGTATTTGGGTTCAATGCCTTTGGCTGAACAGATTCAGGGAAGATGAAAAACAGAAACAATTTCATTTCAATTTGTAAGAAAACTAGGTTTATAAACAGATAATATGGAACCAGAAATGAAATAAAGTAATAATTACTGTTTAAGTTAGCCTTTTACAGTTTTGTCATACTCTCACGCTGTTCTCAAGTAAGCTTTCAGGATGGTTTAACTATTTCAGACTCCTTTTTGTTCCTTTGGACTTTAAATGCTATGTTTGAAGAGAATGTACAAAGATATATCTTGTATATTGATTTTGAAGCTCAGTGAAATCAATGAAAGCCTTAATAGATCAACTTCAAGAGGCTGGCACCGGGCAGTGAAAAGAAGTGAGTTATATTTAGAAAAACCTCAAAAGAATATAAATTGTAACTAATAAGAGTATGAAAATATCTTAAAAGATATGTGAATTTAGACATATTAAAGATTGTTTTGTGTTAATCTTTGATTTTAGCTTTGGTACCCAAACCTTTCTTCAGCTAATAAGGTCCTGTGGGATGAAGAGGTACTTTCTTCTGATGCTTGAAGAAATAGTTGCGTTTGATGTTCTCTTGATATTGTCAGACTGAAACAGATACCTTAGTTCCAGCAAGAGTATACTGTGATGACAAGATGTTAGAAGAAGAAATCCAAAAACCCCTTAATGAAGACATTGTGCCCCATTTTTCTTTCCTGAATTCTAACTATATGGAAGGCCCTAGCAGAATCTTGTCGCATCATATCTTGCAAATTAGTCCCAAAAGATTTCCCAGTCATGTGGAAAACCTGCCTAAATCAAGTTTACATTCACAGATCAAGACAGAGAAGTTACCAGTGTGCATTTTGTTTTTCAGAGCTTAACTCTTCCTGTTTTTCTTCAAATCCTTAATACTTCCCAATTGCAGCATGCTTGTGGCAGTTTGTAAAGAAGCATTGTGGCTTTGCAGTATTTGTTATCCATTGATACTAATAAGGTGCAATAGGATGACACAATAGTGAAAAGGGTTTGATCAAACTCCAAATTTTGTATTTATGCTCAGTAAAAACTATCTCTGCAATTAACACCTTGTTAAATGTATGCAACAGGAGGAAAACAATGAATTGAAAAAAATAATTTTAGTTAATTTGCACCTACTGTGCTCTGCACCCTCACTGTGCAAGCTCATTGCTTATTGGCTAGCTCATAAGTGTGCAATGTCTACATAAGTGCTTATTTTTCAAACACAAAAAGTACCTAAAAAGTGGTTATAGAAGGATATCTTCAAATAGTAAAACATGTGCTGTTGCATCTGTATTTTCATTTGTTTGGCTGGCATACTACCATGCTATCTTCTTCTTCATCTTCATTTTTGGCAGAGAGCTTTACTTTATGTAGCTCATGTTGCAGATAATGAAAGATCTACATTATTGACAGCATTTTGAAGTGAAAACTTTCTTCCAGTCATCTAATTTTTCTTTCTTTCTTTTGCATCAGAACACTAAGGCAAAAAATGTTTTTTTCTTTAACTATTTACTATTAAATCCCTTCCCAGAATCATCCTTTTAACTCATGTTTTATTACTTCTTTGTAGAACAGGAGAATATTTTCAAAAAATGATGCCTTCTCTCTAGCAAAGAAGAAAACAGTTTTAAATCAGATTGAGTCTTCACATTATGGAGACCATCAAATCTTTCACTGTAGCAGTTGCCTCAGCAGACAAAATATATTAAGGTAGTTAGGATCATTTTAATTAGATTGAGATCCCATATATGGCTGTCTGACTTTTTGAGAAACTGAGAAAGGGCAATAATACATCTGAAGGTCACCTGAATCTCTCTAATATAGTGTGATACACAGACCTGTTGTTAAATGGAGGAGAAATTGAGTTCTGGGGTTTACTTGTGTCAGCAAGGAAGAATTTTTTTTTATGTTTCTGGCTTGAATCTGTTCTGTGATTTTTTTCCAGTGCATATCTCAAGTTCTGCAACATACTGTAGGTGTCTAAATTGCAGTAACAATCCCCTTTTATAATTGCAAGCAAAGTTTATTCTGAAGTTAGAAAGGTCATTCCGATAGTACTACAGCTCTTTGACATGACATATAACCATGTCCTATTTTATAGCTCTCTTCAAAGATTTTTAATATTCATCAGAGAAAGCCCTGAAAGCAGGTGCTTTATTTACCCACTAAAAACTTATAAAATAAATCTATTAAAAGTTTTATATATGTTTCTGTTTTTAATTTATTGCACTATGTGCAATAAATAAATATTTTTTCAAATTTATTATATTTTGAAAGCCCTTGACAGAGTAACAATGTCTGTTTATACAACAAGGCTTTTTTTATGGGCAAACTATTTAAAAAGAAAAAAAAAAAAAATCATGGTATATTTTCTCAGGTTTGCCTCTGAAACTGTATTTGACCTGACTGTGCAAAGATACATTTTCTATTTAGCGTGCTCAGGCAAGCAGTGCTCTGTCTCCTGAGAGATTAACGTTGTAAGCAAGTTATGCAGGTGACTCAAATCCAGTTAATCTCACATAAAGAATGTTAATTGCATTAGCAATGGCATTCACTCTGATCACTTTATAGCTGTATAATTAGTAATTGGATGTATTCAAGTCATTGTCTGAATGATACAAAAACAGGAAACAACATGAGAGAGAACTTGTTCTTTCCCGAATCATACTGTGTAAAATGTAGAGATAATAGAAAAATGGAAATAGCAGTTATTGTTATTTGCATGTCATTGATAACTGTGATCTGTACTTATAAAGCTATTTATTTTCTAGCAAATTCGTAACTATTTTGGAAAAAGCAATTTTTAAGAACCTGATCTGAAACTTTTGTTATATATTCCTAAATTGTCTTGGTGTAGAATCGAGTGATTTACATAATGATCTTTTGACCATTTACTGCTTCATCAGCAGAGTTCTCTTCAAAATGTGATAGGAATTTATTTTCTGATCTCCTGTGTAGAGGCATTTATAGCCGCAAGTAGCAATTTCATAAATATGCAAGTTTTAGTTTTTTAGCTTTTTACAGGCAGCTTTTTTAAACATGGTCAACAATCATTTCTGTGTGCAGATCAAGCAAACAGAGGGGTAGATGCAGAGTTATTATGTTCAAAGCTAACTAACTTTTAAGCACCTATAAGGATGTTTATTGGGATCTAATTTTTTGGTTAAGGACCATCTCTTGAAATACAAATACCAGAAGGTAGACTGAGCTCTTTTAGGAGAAAAGTTGTGGAGAAAAAATTACAGAAAGTTTAATTAACATATTTCCTTTTTGATGAACGTCTTCACAGACAAGCCAGATTCATTGCTTATTGTTTCCTGTTTTTGTATCAGACAGTGACTTGAATACATCCATTTACTAGGGCAGACAGCTAATGCTTTTACTACTTTGACCAGTTTAAATGTTTGTCAGACTAAAATGACTTTATCTGAATTTTTCCATGCTTGATGTTTACTTTAGCTGATTTTTAATTTTATTGCTTTTTAATTTTCATAGAATCAGAGAATCATTTAAAAGTTGTCTATTCCAACTCCCTGCATTGAACAGGGACACCTACAGCTAGATCAGATTGCTCAGAGCCCCATCTTTCCTTACCTTGAAGATCTCCAAGGGCAGGTCTTCCAACACATCTCTGGACAATCTGTTCCAGTGCTTCACTACTCTTAACATTTTTATTTTTTTTTCCTTACTTCCAGTCTAATTCTCCTCTCTTTTTTGGAAATCATTTCTTCCAGTCATATCATCACAAAGCCTGCTGTAATGTCTGTCCCCCTTTTTGTAATAGTCCCCTGTAGATATTGAAAGGTTCTCCTAGAGCCTTCTCTTTGCCAGGCTGAACAGTCCAACTCTCTTAGTCTGTCCTCACAGGGAAGGTGTTCCATCTCTTGGGTAATTTTTGTGACTGTCCTCTGAATGTGCTCCAACAGGTCTATGTATCTCCTGCTCTGAGGACCGTACATCTAGACACAGTATTCCAGGTGAGATTTCATCAGCACAGAATAGAGGGACAGAATCACCTCCCTCAACACTCTTTTTGATGTGACCCAGGATACATATGGTTGGCTTTCTAGGCTGTGAGGGCACACTGATGGCTATCCATTCAGTACACCCAGATCCTTTTCAGCAGGGCTGTGTCTCTATCCTTTGTACTGATAGTGAGGGTTGCTGTGACCCAGCTGTAAGAACTTGAACTTGAATTCACTGAAACATACGATTCACTTGGGCCCACTGCTCAATCCTTCTAGGTCTCTTTGAATGGTATCCCATCCCTCCAGTGTGTTGACCACACCACTCAGTTGCTGTCATCCACAAAGTTGCTGAGGATACTCTCAATCCCACTGTTGATGTTACTGAGGAAGATATTTAAGAAAATTGGTTCAAATACTGAGAGACACTACTTGTCACTAATCTCTGTCCGGACATCGAACCATTGACTACCACTCCCTGGGTACAGTCTCAACCAGTTCCTCATTCATCAAATGGTCCACCCACCAAATCAGTATCTGTCCAGTTTGGAGAGAAGGATGTTACTGGGTACTGCATCCCTTACTGAAGTCCAGACAGATGACATCACTGGCTTTTTCCTTGTCCATTGATGCAGATACACAATCATAGAAGGCCACTAAATTGGACTGGCAGGACTTGTTCTTTGTCGCCATACTGATTGCCCCATATCACATCTCTCTCTTTCACGTGCCTTTGCATAGCTTCCAGGAGGATCTGGTCCATGATCTTCCCCAGCATAGAGGTGAGGCTGACAGGTCAATAGTTCCCTGGGTCATTCTTTCTACATCTATGTGCCCAACAGCTACTGCAAGCTTCAGGCACAGGATACAGAACAAAGAGGGGCAAAAAGCTGGAGAACAGGAGTGGCTTGGGAGAAACAGGGAGAACAATGTCTGCCCCTTAAATGTGTTACTATCTCTAACACCTGGAAAATTGCTGTTGATTCTTGAATGTGTCTGCTGACAAAATATATTTTTCTCTGCCTTTAGGTAACTCTGCTTGTATTGTGGAATTCTATGTGATGCTGCGTCACTGATATAAATAATTACTAACAGGATTTTTGTATTTCTTATTTTCTACCTTACTATTTCAATTTGTATAAGTTCACATTTTATCAGATGCAAGTGAGTTCAATGGAAGCTGAGCTTTGAACATATAAAATGAAGGCTAAATTCTTAAGAAAAAATAAATTGACAGTTTTGTGTCTCAAATTAGGCATGAAAATTTAGCAGATTTTTTTTACCTTGCTTTCTTAGATCTCTATCACACCCCTCTGAGAGGGGCTGTGAAAGTAAATGAATTGTTTATGAAGCATTGAGATAGGTGTAATGGAGATCAGGAGGAAAGTAGTAGTTCTTTCTTTGAAGAGAGGTTTGAGTAGTACAACAGGAGGCCACCCACTAAACAGTACAACAAAAGGAAAATATTAAACACCTGCTCATTAGATGAAAACGAACAATACAGAGATGTTTAGGGGAAAAGTTGTATGTGATCATATAGTTGCAGCCATTCACATCGGGCAGAAAGGGAATGAAGAAAAGGCATACAAACAGCCTTAATTTTGACACTTCTGGCTCTTAGGTGCTGCATGTTAAATTTTACAACTTTATTAATGTCCTTTTAATGCTTTTTGTTTGTTTGTTTGTTTTTTAATTTGCATATATTAAACATCTATAGCAAGCCCATAAATTCAGCTCTGTGGTTAGGAAAGCAATCTGCCTAAGTCAGTGTCTGATATTGGTTACATCTGTGTAAATTTTGAATAATTTTCTAAGTGACATCATACCACTCAACTTGCTGAGAATGAAATGTGAAACGTAGTGTGTAACTGGTTTTAGATGTCTTTATAATAAATCCCTGTCTTGAGTGGAAATATTGCTTCATGTAAACCCAGTCTTATAATGGTTTGTCTCTGGCATAAATAATTTATGACAATAAAAGTGTGGTATGGCTAGGAGAGGACAGAACAAAATTTATGCAATCCAAAGGCAACTTGGAAACTAACCCCAGTGACATCCTTTCAAATGAAATTACCGGTACTTTGAGTTTCTACCACTGTAGCTGAGATCAGATTGTGGCTCTGCATCTGGATTTCGAACAGGCCTGTGCAACATTATGATGATTAATAATATTTGTAGCTTTGCAGACTAACATAACAAGGGTAAACAGAACTTATTATTCAGGCCTTAATTTATTTTTCCGTGATGAAGTTAGTGATGGAGATCAGTGAAGATTTGACCTCCACACAATAGCCCTCAATCGGTTGGGACACCTAACAAACAGTTTGCATTTTCCTCCAAAGCATCAAGGTATTGATTATTGCCAAAGGCAGGATATCTCTGTGGGCAGCTCATATATTCCTGGAGCAGACAGTAGCTTTTAAATCACACTCAGAGCATGCAGCAGTGCAGAGCCAAAGAGTTCACATGGAAGGGCATGATCTGGAAGATGTCCCCAGTACTGTGACAGGCAGACAGCCGGTGCTGGCACGCGCTTCGTGCTAGTGGCACTTGGTGTTTATGTGAAGGCCAGACATGACAAACCTCAGCATCTCCATCCCAGCCATCACCATTCTGGCTGCCGGTGCACATCATCAGTTCCACTTGTCTGAATTTCTCTTTTCTATCTTCTGCGGATCGGTAAACAAAAATTTGCTGAAAAGTCAGAAATTGTTTTTTTTTTTTTCATTTCAGCCCTCTGACTCACTGAGAAATTTAATTTTTAATGTCTCTTTTCAAGAGCGGCCCACGTTTCTCAGGCGACCAATCAACCAGGTGGTGTTGGAGGAGGAGGCCGTGGATTTCCGGTGCCAGGTGCAGGGGGACCCGCAGCCGACCGTCCGCTGGAAGAAGGACGATGCAGACCTGCCAAGAGGAAGGTGAGATAAACATTTGTGTTCCCCTCACATTCAAACTTCTACTGTTGAGCAACTTTGAAACTACTGTTGACTGCACGTGCTTGTTGTTTGACATCACAAGCAAGACCTGTTTCCTGTGTTTCTGGTCTTTGATACTACAAACCGTGTTCTAGAGCCAGCTGAGCAGGGAAACCCACTCTGGGCTGCATTTTCCAGGTCATGGATTCCAGTGCAAGGAAGAATACTGATGCATAGCTGTTGTGAACAGATGGCTATTCACTGTTCACTGTCTTAAAGGCTGTCTTAAACTAAAAACTAAAGATGTCTTAAGGGCTGCACTAGTGATAGTAGCCTACACAAAAGGGAAGGGTACAGACCTTCTCTGTGACACTTATGCGATGCATTCGTGGCAGAGCTTTGCTGGTTCTTCTGCTAATGTTCACTGTGTCTCAGAAAACTCTTCCACTGGAGAAGTCAAAAGAACTTCTGATATTTTTATCAGAAGTGGAAAACACTGGGTTAATTCTTTCGGTCACCAGTATTATTTCTGCTTCTCCAATCATGGTCTTAAAAAAAGAGCAACTGTGGTGGTGTTTGACTAGTTTAACCCTGTCAGTGTATATCAAATGTTCTGAGAGCACATTGCTGAGACGGGGCATAACTAAAACAAGTTGGAAGTTTTGGCCTTCTTTCTTCATCGCAGCATGCCTTACATCTTCACCCTGACTAGGTAAAATGTGGTAATTCCTAGGAGTCATACAGTGAATGATCATCATTACATCACTTGTTGACATCACTTGTTTTTCAATATCTAAATCTTGAATAAAATAACAAAACTCAAATTGGTCTATAGTTGTTTTTGCTTCCACATCCTCAGCTCTATGTTTGATGTGAACATGGAATTATTTAATTAAATAGTATTGAATACATTGTGCTGCTATAATTTAGTCTTACTGCTTAAGTTGTTTTAAGTCATACCTACTTCTGGATCTTGTAAGCAGAACAGATGGTGCAGTCACAGTACCTTTGATTAGGCTGCGTGCTGGATTAGGTTTTTAAAATGGCTTTATGTACCTTTTTAATATATTTTACTGTGAAAAACATGTTACTATGTGTTTTGAGGTAGTTTCTTCTGTCCAGTTGTGATGTCTTTCTTTCCAAGAAAAGAAAAAATATAACAGGAAATGGAAGCAGTTTTCTTAGTGCTTTTAATATCAGATACCTTCTGATGATATTCAACTTCAGTCTCAGAAACTGTTCTTTTTTTTGCAGTGTTGTTGGTTTTTTTTGTTGTTGTTGTTTGTTTTTTCACTGCTGTTGAACAATTAATTAATTGTCTTTGGGCATCTTCAAGTAGAAAACAGAGCTATGTGTTCAGTTATGTCTTCATTAGACCATCGTGGGGATGTGTGCGTAAGGTGCAAAGTTACAGAATCTCATGCTGGAGGCAACCTTGGGTGACAGAGGACTGCCAGTGCTATTGCCTATGTAGAAGGTTACCACCATATGGATCATCTCATAGCCCAGTACTAATACCTTAAAAACAAACACCAATTATCAGGATTTTATGTTTTCAAAAACAATATACATAAGGAGAATCTTCAATGTCCAAAGGGTGGAAATTTCCAAACCATGATGCATGTTGTTTAATCAAGGAAGATAAACTATCTGAAATGAATTTGTTTTCCTTTATTTTTTTAATGCAAACAAATTTTCCCAAGGGTGAGTTGAAAGAATGAGGTGAGAAAATGAAAATTTGGGCAGAAATTTCTTAAGTTTTTCCTCCTTGATGAAATATAAAATTTTCTTTTTTTTTTTTTCCAGGTTAGAAAAGAATGTCACTTTCATTTTATGAAGTCCTGTATTTTAAGCATTTTGACATCAATGGTGAATTATGAAATTTTAAGGAATTCCCTTTGCTATAATTTCATAAAGAAATAAATCCTTTTTCTGAGCAGATCTGTGCTGCTGTTTGTCTTAAAAATTTCAAAGACAATTTTCTCTTTCTGCAGCCAGTGATGTTCTCTGCACATTTGTCCTTTTGGTTTTGGCTGTGGGGCTTTTGTTGTTGTTGTTTTATTCCAATAATTTCCTTTTGGACACATCCCTAGGTTACAAGATAATTATTGTAGATACCTGCTTCAATAAGTATTGCAAATTATTATAATTTTCTATTATTAATTCAATTTTTTAAAATACCGTGGTTAGTAATAGCAAAGTGGGATATACTGAATACTCCGTATGCATTTTGTTTCTGTATTCCATTGATGATGAATGCCAGAATCAGTGATACTGTATCCATAGTATTCCAAAAATCCTTCTCTGCTTTTCTATCTTAGTTCCTTCTAGCTTTTTTACTGAAATATGTGAAAGCAAAGAGAAAAGCAATGTGAGTAATTTCTGGTGGCAAATATAAACAGTATTGCTCCACCAGTTGGTGTGTTGAGTAATAATTGGGAAATAATTTCAGGCTATTACAGTTTTAATTATATAAGTCCCCGGTGAACTGTAAACATCTCCACTTGAAGTTGGACTGGGGGAGGGAACAACTTCTAAAGAAGTAAATATGATTGAAAATGTGAAAATTTAAAAAATCTTAATTTAGTTTTGTTTAATTGTCCTTGTAATTACCCAGAAATTTATGAACAATTGTGCTTTGAAACTAAGAACAGATGAACATAAGTTTATTCTAAGTGTGCAGATCTTTATTCCAAATTTTCACTGTTTTGAATTAATGATCTAAAACAACTGTCAGCCTATATTTTTGAATTTAAGACCTAAAAGTTGTGTATCTTGTCAATATTTTTAAGGTGTCTGCAAAAAATAGGTCTCTCTATCACTCAGAGGGAGCTTCTTTTCCCAAATCCTCCAGACATGACCTGAGATTTGAAAGATCTCTGTACACATCATGGAGCTTTTTATGGAGCTTTTCTGTATCTTTGGACAGGAATTAAGAAAGCATTAGGAAGTGGAAGTGGTGGTGTGAATTATGCATAACTGTTTTCTTAGGGTTTTTTTGCCTTCTGTTTTACTGTGTTGGCCCATGACCTCAAAGACAAATGTGGTGATATGTTGCAGGAGAGGTTGAACCTTCCCACCAACATTCTGTTATGTTTTGCTGCCACGTGACAGATGGCAGCAGAGGGACAGTCTGATGGCATGGAAGTGTGTGTAAAGAACCCGTTTACATTCATTAACACTTGATGAGCTTTTATGGAGACCAAACAGTGAATGTGAGCACAGAGAGGTGGTGGCTGGTATGTTTCAATAGGAGCAACAGCCACATTTCAGTGAGCCATGCAGATTTTTACAGGTGTGGCTTGCAGGCTCTTGTTCATCGCTGGCAAGAATGCATAGCTTATGGTGGTGACTATGTAGAAAGACAGTGTTATGTAGCTGAGAATTTGCTCTATCACTGTTACTGTGCTCTTTGTATCTGTGGTAGCTTCTATGGAAATAATTAGGAGGCATTACTTTCAGAGCAAGCTAGGCATATTTTTGTAATAATTAACTAAATTATTCAGATCTGAAAATTCTTTTTAGGCCCTAAACCAATCCCAGCATATTAGTAGCTTGGTAAAAATACTGATGCTGCTCTAATAGGCAGAAACAAAGAGCAATGTGAAATGTGGGTTGTATAAAGCTTTTTTTTTCCAGAAGCTGTCCATTTTAAATCAGTGACACGAAACTGAAACAGATTGTGAAACCAGGACAGAGGCACATGGTGTATATTCTATTTTACTTGCTTGCTCTAAAAATTCAACATCATGCCATACCTTCCACAGTATACAAAGGCGAGGGGAATAGTTAATCAAGTATGACTTGTGTCAAACTACTGGAGGTGAACAGGATATTGTGGGGTCACTAGTTTTGATGCCTTTGGCTGAAATACTAGATTCACAACTTCATGAATAGTGTTTCTTTTCTTTATAAGCACCTCAAGGAAATGGCACAAAAATTGTACTAAAGCTGTACTAAAGCAACTCAGCCAGTTGCAGCTATGCAGAATGATCAGGAAATACTGAAAATTAAATGAAAATCATTTTTACACATTGAAGTCTTTTTCTAACCACAGGTTCAGGTAGCTTTCCTTTGATGTCTGCTTGGCAGAAATAGAGATTATACTTTCCTGCTAAGAGTCTGATGGTCTCCTGTGTTGTCAGGAATTCAATATGGCCTGAATCAACTCTTGATTCATCTGCTTTTCATTCCTAGTAACGAGAAGAAAGTGATATTACTTGAGAGTCTCCAATATGAGAGTGGCATATCTATGACTAGCACTTTAATAAAATTTGAATAAGGTTTGCACAGTGTTTCATGTCTTCAAATTTTCTAGCAGAGTCAAAGAGAGCAGCTGCATAGTCTGTAATTACATAGCAAGTAATACGAATATTTTCTTTTTTTTTTTTTCCTCAGGAAGTGAAGAGATTTTCAATTACAAGTTAAAATTTATGACACACTATAATAACTGTTTAAACCTTTTACACAGAAGAAGCTAGCAGTGCCAGCTCTTTGGGAAAGTGAAGTTAGCTCAGCAAATGTATTTTTCAGTTGCCTGAGTAGCAATCACTTGGGCCTTTTTTTGCATTCCAGCAAAGAACAGCTGGCTTAGCTCAGTAAATACATCTCTAATGAAATTACAACCTGCTCTTCTAAGTTGCATTTACAGGCATTGTCTGATTAGGTGAATATTATACTAGAAATTAAGAGTGGCATCTACACCAGCAGGAAGATGTGTTTGTTTTATGTACTGTCCACACAATGGAAGAGTGTAGGCAGAAAAATCAAGGGCGATGCTTCAGAAGGAAAACAGAGTGTAGTTTATCAAGAGTATATTGTGCTAAGAGATTGTAGGCCCTTAGATGAGACAGAGCAACGATACCCACCAATGAAACACATAGTCACTAAAAATTAAAAATATTCATTAAGAAGTTTTAGGGAAAATGCATTATTTTCTGGTTTTTAAAAATTATATACATTTAAGTGCATTAAAGTATTGTCATTGTTTGCTGAGAACTGTA